AGATAATTTCATCAACCATTTAACATCACGAAAACTATCTTTAACCCGTCAGCACACGCGCTGGGGTAAAATCCACCCCACGTGTAGTCTTTTCTTAGAAAATAAGGGAAAGTCGTATGTGACCTTTCTAGTACTTTATGTACCTTTCAAGATCAGGGTTAGGAAGTGGTCGTCCAAAGGAATTTTTCCAGTGTCCATGAGATTTTTATGTTTTCGGGGAAGGCATGTGCAACGGGATTGTAGCTACCCCGCGCGTGTACTAACGTTTCACTTCGAGGGAGACATTCATTGAGATGAGTGCGTATGAGCGAGAACAGTAACGACTGCGGGTTCTTCTCGCTAGTGTTGAAACTGATAGCGAAATTGAAAATTCCAATTCTGAGTGCGATAATATTTCTGAAAGTGCTCTTTCACGAAACTGTTTCTGACCAGTGATATGATGATTCCCCCGATCTTCTTTGACATCATATAATTTTATTGTTTGAATAGATGGAACAATTTTAAGTAAAAAATTACCCTCGAAAAACGTTTGGACACGGCCGCACAAGTATAGTGACACATTTACCTGGTATCAAGAAAAGCTTTAGAAATTTGGAAACATCCAACTGAGTGTTTATTGCAAATTATTGATGAATAAATAATGGAAGATTTGGTAAAATCAACAAACATTTACATTTCATCAATAAGAAACAAATTCTCTAGAGAACGTGATGCACAAGAGAGCACTCCAGTGTAATATAATAGGAAAAACAACACCTTCAGTTCAGCTACGTTTGTCTGGAATATAATAGGAAACGCTGGAGTGCTGAGAGCAGCACTCCAGCATTTGTAAAAATATTTATTTGTTTGTAAAAATATGTTGTCACACTATGTGAGGATTGCTCAGGTAGGAGGGGGGGGGCAGAAAAACTATGTGTTATTTATATTTTTTTAATATTCTTATTTAGAATCTATTCTTTCATATGAATAATTAAACTGAATGTATGACATTATATTCAGTTTTAAGGAAAAAAGCTAGTAAGAATGCAGCCTTTTCATATTCCTCTAGTACTTTATCAACCCACTCTTTATAATAAACACTTATGTTTAAAAAAATATGTATATGGAAACAGATTTTTCTAATATTAAAAAATCATATATGTATCTTACATAAGTTAGTAATTTTGCATAAATTTTGATTTTTATGGCTTACTTTAGGTAACCAGTATGGAAATGTTTGTATAACTTAAAGTAAGATTATCTCGAATTAAAACTGGAAAAAAGGTTTAACAGAATTCACAAAGCTATTAGTCATTTATCCATTCATTGAAAACAAAAAAAAAAAAAAAAAAAGCATTTATTTACACGTTGGGGGGGTGAACTCCGAAAAACAAACACTGGGGTAAAATTTGTCTCGCGTGGGTGGGTACTAACGTAGCGCAGTATGGTTAAATATTGCATCTTAAGCCGCTTGGAGATGCTGGTTTAAAAACATGAAAAGGGCTCTCATTTCCAAAAGCCTCTTCCAAACATTCTCTTTGGGAACTATGTAAAATTATTTACTATCTTATTAGTACTTACTAATCTTATTCCACTATGTAAAATTTTTAGACATTTTCAATGTTAATCAATACATTGATATTGTCCGCTGGAGAAAAATTTCACTTATAGCTCACCTACTTTTTTTGTTGTATTCTCCATTCCTAGATTTTGGAAAAGGGGGGATTTTTTTAATCAATTTTTTTTTTATTTGTGTTTATTCATTTTGGCTGGTAATCCAAGATTGGGATATTAGATGTTTCCAGACATTGGACATTTAGACTTTGTACTATACATAAATTTTTTGTCCATATGTGCAGAGTACTGTTTTTAATAGCATAGTTCAGAGGTAGTTTGTGAAGTTGAAACATGGGAACTTCAGCCTCAAAGATGATGCTTACTCTGAGTAACCATCCTTTGTAAATAAGGAACTGTTAAAAGAAGCTATTTTTAAAAAATAATGTTATGTTTCAGGAACTATCAGACAGACTAAATATTCCAAAAAGTACGGTGTATGGTCATTTGAAGAAGACTGGATGTACTCCATACTTCCTGTTCTGAAATGAAATAAAGCTTCTTTTTTGAAATTATTCATTACTAAAGATAAGAAAACGATAGCATATAGTAAGTTAAAAGAAAGATCAAAGTATTGGCCAAATGAATCTTTAGTAACACAGATAGGGGGTTGAATCTCAGAAAAACAATGGTTTGTTTATACAGTCAAAAGTCGTTAATCCGAACTCGTCGGGACTTCGGAGATTCCGGATTATCGATTTTTCCGGATTATAGATCATCAGTTTAAATCTGGTAAGATGACATGCAGAAATTACAAAATTAAAAATATGAAACCATAATTTATGAAATAAAGAACAATTATGATCTAAAGGGTATCAAAATTTACAAAAATAAATCTTAATATTTATTTGTTTACTTTATTAAACATTTCTTTCAATGTAAGTTGTTTAAGATGCTTCCTTTCATGTGATAATACTTTCTCTTTAATTCTATTAAATAGACATAATTTCTTGTTTAGTTACAAAGTTCCGCTGTTCAAGTCCTATAATTGCTTTAAATCATATCAAAGACGGAGTACATCGACATGAAATACTACATTTAGTAAGGAATCATAAGCCAAATAAAATAAAAACATCTGCCGTGAAGATAAGGATAGTGCTGACAGATACTTCCAATTCATTACGCGTCACGGCGTTTCCCCCCCACCGCAGAGCAGCGTGAAATTGATACAGATTTCAGATTTCGAAACATACTTTCGCTTTGTAAATCCTTTACATATTAGTAAATATATATCGGAAATTCTATTTGACATAATCGAAAGTTCAAGCTTACTTTTATAAAATTGTTCTAACAATCTGCAAAAAATAATAAGCTGGATCCAATTCGAAGATTAAGGAACAACGCAATCTGCAACATTAACTGAATTAGATAATTTTAGCTTACCTTTTACCGTCCGTTATACATTAAACGCGCATGCGCACACATATATTTGCAGCCGTAAAGGTCTTACGCGCACGGGTAAACGCCTCTGCGCGTGCGTCAAAGCGACGCATGCGCAGAAAGTTTGTAGCTTTGAGGTCCGGATTATAGATCATTCCGGATTATGGGTGTCCGAATTAACGACTTTTGACTGTAGTATGTCTATAAAATGAGTTGTATATTATGAATTGTTGCCACCAAATCAGACAGTAAATTTGGAAAATTGTTTCCAGTTGATTGTCGTAAAAGCAACATTTGAAACAAAGCCTCCAGAACTGACCAGTTGAAGTGTTGTCTTCTGTCATGATAGCACTCAGCCTCACATTTTGATCAGTGTCAGATTGAATAGTATAGCTGGGATATTTTTTCACGTACCATATTTTTTAGACCTTGCATTCTCGGATTTTAATCTCCAACTTTATTCACAATTCTCTGAGTGGCCTGGAGTTGTTCATTTCTTTGGAGACTCTCAAACAGTATTCTCAAACTCATTAGCATCTGTATGAATAAATGTAAAAAAAAAAAAAAAAAAAAAAAAGCTGTTGTAGAGAGAGTAAAAAAGGTAAAAATAACAAAATATCTATGTGAATCCATGAAATTTTCGGTACCTGCAATTATCCCGTCCACTAAAGTTGCCTGCCATCAAATGAAATAAGACCCTGTCAAATTTGCGGCAATCATTCCTACTGAATTCTGAAGAAACTGATGCCTCTGTATTGAATAAACTTTCTGTATTTAACCCATTTTTGTGAAAAGGCTTTCATTGATTTCTGTTATTTTTTGTTAAGACCACCAAATTTACCAGAAGCTGCATTTAAGAATGAAACTTTTCACAAGTAACTGTTCCAGTCTATTACTGTTTTGTCAGCCATATTCAGCTGTCATTTAATGCACACTTTGTGATAAAATCCCATGCATTTGAAAATAAATTAGTGCTTGCTGTTCTTTAGAAGGCAGGATCCAAATTTTAAGAAAAGAACAGTAAGAGTAGTTAAATTATAGCCTTTCTCATAAAAACAAAATATGTCTTATCAAGAATTAATTGGAGTTACTTTATATGAAAACAAAGATGTTGCGGGCATTATTATATCACATTTATCCATAATTTGCTCTAAATCATAGTGCTTTCACTGTTGATAGGGTAATTTGTATGTTTTGTACTGCTTCATTTGTTTTTATATTAAAAAAGGGCTTATAACCTTCCAGTTGACCCAATATTTATTGGCAGATCAATACCTACATGCTATAAAAATAGCCATCTATTTACAGATTCATAAAGTCATTAATGAGTTAGTGACTTTTTATGAGAAGGGGGTAAGACAATTAAAAAGTATTTAAAATGAGAAGATATTTAAACAAAGCATCATTTATTTTAAATAACAAATCTTTATATTTTGGTTTATTTTTTAATGAGAATGGGAGCTAAATTTTGTCCTCTGTTTTTTTTATATGAGTTATATCTTATTTTCCAACCTGTCAAATTAAATAGAATCAGTGCTTATGTTTTACATCAGAATTTCAATTATCAGCATTAAAATAAGCTGCTGTAAGAGTGTTTGAGTGGTGTTCATTTAATATAAATATATTAACTAGCTTTCCTTAGAAAACCTAATTTAAAGGCAGCTCTTTAAGCTACAAATCTTAATGCTGTAGTGGTGATAAAGTATGCATCTGTAAGATCTGAATGTGTATAGTGCAAGTTCAGAGCCATAGCATGGTTTTCAGCAGCTGGGGACAACTGAAGATTTTGTGTCCTCTTCTTGTTTGCTGAGAAGGAAAAATATATTCTGAAATTTCCTAACATCAATTTGGCACCCTATGGATGCAGTGTCCAGGTACAGATGTTCCCCCTAGCTATGCCTCTGGTACAAGTTATAATCGTTTTATATATTCTTGGATTTCAAGATATTCCTTACTGTTTACATGATCTTATGATGAAATAATATGAATGAAGTATATGTTCTAAATACCTCTTATTTTCTTTTCAGTTGATGGTGGTCATCGAGCTATTATATTTAGTCGCATCGGCGGTGTGAAAAATGACATTTATAGTGAAGGCCTTCATTTTAGGTAAAATATGAATTCTATAATTTATAGTATTCTGTAATTTATAGTATTTCTGAATTCTATAATTTATAGTAATTTAGTAACATTATGTAGACTAACAATGCTGTCTTCTGTAAAATTAAACAAGAAGGAGTCTTAGTTTAATGTAAATTTTGAATAAAATTCTATAGATTTCTGTGGCATTGGAGAGTTTAGTCTTTTATTCCTTTCAGTTCCTATCAGTTTTCTCATATTAGGGGAAAATTCTATAGCAGTGCTTCTAGAGTACTTATATCAGATATTGGTGTGTTTTGCTCCCAGTTTGAATCCTGTATTATCTTTTATAAAATATATAATATTTCTGAAAGACACGTGAATAAAATTGCTGAAACTGTAGTTGTAGTTCGACCTGGGATTCAAGAGGCAGGCGGCTTGAGCATTTATATGTATGTTTTTTTTCCTCATGTGTATTATGAATATGAGCTAGTGTTCTTTTGTAGAGGCATATCTGTACAGAAATAATCCTTGAATGCTTTGCCATAACTAAATCAAAATACTCATAATTTAGGATTAGTTTGTTTCAATATATATGTAACCATAATTTTTCTAATTCCTTCTTATCAAGATATTCTTCTTAGGATTTGTATCTCAACAATCCTGTAGTCTGAGAAAGCTATATTTTTATATATGCTCTTCACGTGTGGCCTGAATGTGGCAAATAGATATTTGTAGATTGAGATTAAAAAATTATGCCTGTTATGCTTAGGTAGTGGAGATAGCTCTCCTGCCTAGAATTGCATTGAGGCCGACAAGCCTTCATTCAGAGCATAGTTTAATTCTATTCCCAGAACAGGATTCTGTGTTGAACTTAACCCCTTCGAGCCGGGTAGCGAAAACGCGCACTTATCGCTGAGGCCGGCAGTGTCTTACGTGAGCGTCACTCCAGGGCCGGGGGCTTTTTTGCTACTAAGCCTAAATCCATGAAATTTCCGAAGTATCAACGCATTGTTTAATAAAGCTCTATAGAGTATTTAAACGGCTTTATAAATATTTTAATATATATATACTTTAATTACCTTATTTCTTGTTTAAATGCATATTTTACACATTTTATTTTAATTACTCACCATTTTATGAATTTTAACATTATACATCTGAAAACTAAATATATTACTTAAAATTCTCTTTTCGTATGAAAAATTGGAAAACAGGGATCTACACACAGTCCTACGTTACATTCCTTGCACCCGTAATAACTCATTTGCCGTTTTGGAGGATTTTTCCGGGAATGTGAACAAACGAAGCATCGTCATCTCACTTTCTTATCAGTCTCTTCTGAACAATGTTTTGGAAAATGTCTTTCAGTTAATCTTTCAGAATCAATATCAGAATTTCAGAATCAATATCTGAAATATTTTGCATCATTTCTGCTATTTCATGCTCTGTTAAACATTTTCGACGCTTCGACATTGCAACGGTAAAAACAAAGAATTCACGTCTAACAAGATCTAATTATTTTCTAAAAACTGAACTGCAAACCGAAATACGCAATGCTTTAGAGCAAATAAAACTTCTCTACTTACAGTAAACAACTACCACGTGCGAATAAAGTGCGATTTAAAGAGACGTCATAAATCACGCCATTCGGAAACATTTATTTCCCCGTTTGTTTATATAATCAAAAACACGTGTATGTGAGTCATGCTTCTCTCATTTCGAGTAGAAGGTCTAATTTACATGTATCTGAAACCATATGGACATACAGTGCCATCTTGTGGCAGAAATTATAGTTTGAAAAACGTTCCAAAGTACTGGCACAAATACGTGACAGTCGGTAGAGAATGGAACAATCCTCTGGCACGCCTGCGTGTCAGCCGGTAGGTAAGTGCGTTCATTGCTGGCACGTATACGTGACAGTCGGCGCGAAGGGGCTAAACATGCCTTATATGGAGTTGAGCTGTTATATTACAATCACATAGTTTTTACAAGTTATTCATATCATGAATTGAAATGAGTAAGTGAGAACAAGGTTTAGAGTAGACTGAAGGGTACCCCTTGTATTATCGCGAAGTTGTTTCATTTATCTCTAAGGGAGTGCACAATGCCAAGTTTGTGCAAGTCTCTTGTGTTTTTTTAAATGAAAATAGGCCGACGAGTACATGGATAAAGTCGAGGGAATGCGCAATGCCTAGTTTGTGCAATTCTGTGATTTTTTTTAAAGTGACCATTATCTGTACATGGATACTGAGTTTGTGCAGTTCTTTGACTTGTTATTTTGTCTTTGTGTAGTGGCGATTTTTGGCGTTAAAATCACTACTACACAAAGCCAAAATAACAAGTCAAAGAATTGCACAAACTCGGTATCCATGTACCACCAAAATCGCCAATTTTCATCAAGGGGTACCCGTAAATATACTTTTACCAGAATAAGTTGTCTGATATAGTGGCAGCAGGTATAACTTTGCCATTGTTGTTACATTTATTACTAGTAGACTAGTTTAAAATTATTATGAATTTGTCTGATGTTTCTATGTTGTTGTGACTGAATGTCTGACAATAACATAAGATAAAGTGCATTAATTCTATTGTGGCCAAGATGTGAGGGTTAGGCTTGTCATTGGCTTTGGCTCCTTAGAGGTAATGGTATGAAGTTTTTACGCTGCCCCAGTTTTGAAAAAAAAAAAAAATCTCTCGAGGAACATATTTGAGGGTCTCCCGACCCTCTTCCCTTACCACCAACAGCTTGAAAACTTCTGGCTGCACAGTATTTTAACATGTGTATTTTTTTGGGCACTTTTTTAATTTTGAAAAATTTATACCATAATATAGTGGGTAAGATTGATACTACAAGATACTGGAGTTACTGTTTGAGGAAAAAAATTTTCTGCAAATCTGTTCATTATTAATGCAATAAATGGTAGAATTATTATCTATTAATTACTTTAATTTTCTACAGTCATGTCTAAAATTATCTTTACATGCATAAAATCATAGATTTATCAGAAACTGTGAGCTGTCCTTTTATGAATTAGTGTGAAATGATACATAACACATAAAAGCAAAGGGAAAAAAAAATTAAGAGCACTATATCTGCTTATTTCCATGTCAGCAGTAACTGCACTTGCCAGCCAACTATTTTCGTTTTCAACGAATTCTCCTAGCTGACACCCTACAGTGAAAGTCACCTCTTCCTTATACCTCAGAAGATTTTAGCATTTGTTTACATTTTAAACATTGAACACCTGATTGACTCCTTTCAACACTGCCCTTGATGGCCAGATTCCTTTTTCGTTCTTTAATCATAATCATCTTTGGTTTTTGCGCCAAAAACCTCCCTCTCTCACTTTCATTCTTCAATCAACTGCTTTTGTTATCCATTCAATTTCCTATGGAAGACATGGAGATAATTAATTTTTTTTTATAAAGGTACTCTGAAATTAAAATGGCTTGGTCTTATGTTTGATATAAAACTGTAGCATAAAACAATAGAAATGATAATTTATTACAAGAAGAGTTTGGAGGGGGGGAACTAGGTTAAAAATATGGAATATGATAACCAACTTGTGCACACATATCTCAACTCTTTTTTTTTTTTTTTTTTTTTTAATGCTGGCATTAACACTATTAGCGGCAGTTTCGGAAATTAAGTTCCACTCCTCCTGCAATGAAGTCTTCTGGGCATTTACATCTTCTGTAGAAGGAGGATGTCTCCATGCAGCTGCTTTTCCAAGGTAGTATAATAAGTACCCTATCGGGTTAAGATCAGAAGATTTTGCTAATTGCAGTATTCACTCAGTATCTTCATTGTCAAGAAATTTGTCAATAAGATTTCCTCGATATGGACAAGAATTATTGTCCATAAATTAAAAGTGATCTATATGCACATAGTCTGAAATATTATTATGATATGTTTAGCTGGTCACAGGTCTGCTGTTGAAAATGCGTAGAGGCCTACGTCCATCAATAATTATTTTCCCGATGCTATCACAGCTGCATTACCGAGACAGTTTATAATAATCAAAGGAAGATTTCCTCCCCCCCCCGACTTCCTGTAGATGTAAACATGTTTAGAGTCATATATTAAACTATGGCTTGCCAGTAAAGAAAACAGACGCTAATTGGACCATTGGGGTGTTCATTCCATTTCTGATGTTTTTTGCTTTAATTAAAATGATTGAAACACATACTCTTAGGTTTCTAGCATAAAAGGCCTTTTTCATTAAGCTTTCTGTTTATGGTTTGCTCTCGTACAACAATTTCTGTGCAGTTGCAAGTTAGACTTGCCATTGTGAAAAACAGTTATTGCAAAATATCGAACTTAAGAAGCAGTTATTATTAGTGTACACCAGGTCCGGACTTCCTTACAACAGTTTTAAGAGTTCGGAAATTGTTCCCATAGTATAGAGATTGTCTTAAAATATTAAGTCTCGCTTCTTCTATGATTGTCTGTCCTGCTTCTAAATGGCCAATGATTAACCACGTCACAGATTCTCCCAAATGATATGTTGGAGCCATAAAAAGTCATTTTGAGTCCTTACATGCTGAAATCAAACGTTTTATTGCAGAAATTTGCTTTGGGCCAAATGCCTGGTTGATCTTCAGAAGAGGTAATGCCCTGATTTTCATGTCAGAAACCATTTGATCATGGTTGATTGAATAATGCTAGTCCTTCACTAATTCCCTGCAGAAATGGTTGCATTGATTGGATATTTCATACAATATAATTGTTTTTGGGTATGAAAGATAAATTTAGACGCGAGTGTATTTGAGATAGGATTGTTGATTATGCATATAAGTACAAATACATTTGTACTAAAGCTTTTATCATTTAACATTATTGGAAACTAATTCTGTAGACATTATGTGGTTTCAAAATGATAAAGGAATTATAACAACAACTTCTAAAATTTGTTTTTCCAGAATGTGGAATAGCATTTATATTTATTGTATTTTCAATGTAGGATTCCTTGGTTTCAGTATCCTATTATATATGACATAAGAGCCAAGCCTAGAAAAATATCTTCACCCACTGGCAGTAAAGGTATGTTAATGATATTTTTAGATCTTTATTTATTTTTTAATTGTCCCTCAATCCTTTTTATCAAAAATGGTCTTATCCAACAATGGTGTAATTTTGCTATCTTAGTTACGAAATATTTAGGAACAGAAATAAGTCCGATGTTCGTTTATAAAACATCATTGGTACTTTTCCGTTTCGCTGCTGCAAATCTCGCCAAGCAAACTTTATTGGTGACAACATACAGTATACACATAAAAAATGTTAACAAATGTTAGTTCTAAGAATTTCGTATTTGAAGGCATAAACATTTTGATATCGTTTAAAATTTTGTAAAAAGCCAATAAATAAAGACAGTAAATTTGTAAAAAGACATTAATTTAAGAATTTATTACACTTTCATAGTTCATCAAGCTGATTCGCCGGTTCGTATCACGTGATCCCAAGTGATCTCATCTCGCGTAAACTACGCTACAAAAATCTAATTCTCTCAGTAATTATCTACATTAATTTCAAGGTAAATCTTAATTTGGAATACAAGTTTAAATGCAAGAATTATTTCAATTCATACGAATAGCTTACTAAGAAATTATGTAAAACCACAGTGCTTTACTTCGCTGGTGCATTCTCATTAGAACTGATGAATTTAATCTTTGATTTTGCCTTTTCTATATTTTCGCCTTCAAGTGAGCGGTGTGATTGCATTCTAATTGACTTAATGACCGCAAATGGCTTTAGGGCATAAAATTGTACTATCTGTTAAAAATTCTATGTAATTTTTTGCCAGTATTGAAAGAACCAATCAATCTGATAAGAAATGACTGCGACTTGTTTTGAAAATGAGGTGTAAAAGGTTAGCAGCAAGGATATTCTGTTTGGCATCAGTTGTACCATTATTGGCGACTTTAATCGCTTGCACTGGCAAAGCAAAAAAGTACCACATCATTAAATTTTTACGGTCTAATTACTGTGTTAGATGCAATTGAAAATGTTATTTTATCTTTGAATGGTATGGAAACTTTTCTTTGTTTCTTTGTAATTATTTAAATTTCCATAAATGATATTTGTTCTTTTGGTCCAGTCAAGTGTGAAAGTTGGCAGACGTCCTGCTAATCGTTCTTGCTGTATTCTTAAGGAATTGATGCCTCTTTATGTAATAAACAATCAGTAGTCAAGACACTTTCTTTTCGTGCTTTTTGAAGTTTTTTTTCATGATTTATGCTGCATTCTTTATTTTGTGAAAAGCTCTGTTTAGAACACTTTACGAGTACAAATTACATTAGGTAATTATTCTAACATATTAATGTTTTATGCGGTATATTCAGCTGATGATGTGGTGTCCGATATGCATTTTTGATTATGGTTGGATTCTATAACTTTAAAACTAATCAATTGCTTGCTGTTCTGTAGAAGGTACATGACAAATTTTAATCATTTTCTCAAAATGGTGGGGGAAAATACAGCAATAATAGTTGATTTTTATCTTATATTATAGAAACAAAACATCCTGTATTGAGAATCAATCAGATTTACATTTAACAAAAGGGCAGATGTGTGTTCTAAGATCAAGCATATCCAAATTGTGCTGGTTGACGATATTTTCACTGCTGGCGGGATGCATGTTTCACAAGTGCACATCTGTGTAGCCACCAAGGGAGTGGCTTCTGGGATGGACCAATGGGCATCCAGTAATATTACTGTCATGTCACGTGACCTTTCGCATGCTTTAAGATTTAAGCAAATGGTTGAAAATATTTTGCCGCATAATTTTCAGTACAAAATAGTTAAAGCATCGTCGATTTCTTCAGGAATTTTTCATTGCGGAGTTAGATCAAATATAAGCAATTGTGAAGATTTCTGGGTTGAAAGTTGTTGAAATTAAATACAATAAAATATATGTTGTGCACTTCGCAAAAATATCCCAGTAATAATATGGTTAAATAAGGTTGAAGAAAAAATATGTGATTAAACAGGCCAAATGCTATCTTTACACAAAACCATATTATGACACAAAAATTTACACCAATATTATATGTATAAATAGTCAGCAACTTTTATTAGTCTTTTGTCTTTCTATAAAGGCAGAATTTTATTCAAAGTGAACCTTTGCATTCGTATACATTTATGCGTTTCGTTTTACGTTTAATAACTGCCTCACTCTTAAATGTACTGTCTACACAAGAAATACTCATCAAACAGAATGCATTTATCTTATTCACAACGAATATATCTAATTTATTCACATATAACTTTTAATGTTAACAGTGGATATAATCAGGTTACGCACAATATATATTCTGAATCTTACACTTTCAAAATCAAAAGAATGCAAGCACTGAAATAGGAAAACACTAGATTCATTGTAACACTTCCAGTCCTTCTCTCAGCTCAATTAAAAAAAAAAAAAAAAAAAAAAGAAAGAAAACTATACACATGAATTCTCTTAATCCACAGGTGTTAGTAAATGCATAATATTCGAGGCTAATTGTATCTTGAGTCGTTTTCTTGATGTAAAAGGTGATAATATGTCGTGAACATCAATTCAAGTATCAATGCGTAGTAAAAATCGTGAAAGTGATATGTCAGCAATTAATTAAACTCGTAAAAAGAAAGCACTACGAGATTTTCTACTATTATACCATATATTTATAACTGTAAAACAAATACAAATTAAAACGTAAACAACCTACACTCACATGCACGAAGATTTAGCGATACGAGCAATAGAAGCTCATTGGTCCATTTTCGAAACCCCTCCTTCAGTGGCTACACTGATGTGCACTTGTGAAATATGCTGATGGGAATTACATAAGTACCATTCTTTCTTTGTGATATTTTTGTTCTTGTATTTCATAATTGTTTTGTAAAGATCATTTTATAAATTGAGCTGAATATTCATCTAAAATTCAAAAATTTTGAAATAAAAATGTAAAATTCTTTAACAGTTTTTGTGAGCTTCATATTAGAATGTAACAGTTTGAAGTTAAACATCATAATTCCAGATATTTGTAATTAAGTAATTATTGAGAGCACATAATTAATTTACCCCAATAGTGCAGTAACTAAGAAACTTGAATAATTATTTTTCTTACTTTGTTCTAAAAACAGTTCCATGGGAAATAACTGATATATGGCATTTTTTTTTTTTTTTTTTTTTTTAACAAATCTGAATATGGCAAGTTAAAGTAAATGGCAATCTTAAGTACTATTTAGAGCAGTAGTTCTGCCTAATGAAATGAGCTATATACCTTATGTTAAGAAATCCAGGTGCTACTTTGGTAGACGGTTGCACGGATTTTTGGCGATTTACGTTGCCGCAATTTTTACAAACGTCAACCATCTTGAAAAACGCTGTTTTTACGCATAGTGAAGTATTCAAAACTTAAATAAATAAATATCGTTAAAAGTAATGGATTAATTTTTGTTGAAAATGTCGTTTTTTAGGATGGAAGGCAAGTGTAAATAAATACATTTACTATGAGTATAAAATACTAAAGTAAGGCTTTATTACTTTCAATAGCAAAGAAGAAATAAAACACCGCTATAAAAACATTGGGCCAACGTTAATTAGATTAAAATATTACTGAAATTGAATATCGAATTAAAAACCATCATACCAACTTTAATAGAATTAGAATATTATTAAATTCAAATACTTAAAATACGTTATATAGAATTATAATAATTAACATTAAAACATATGGACAATAATTATCTCAGCAATTTCTGAAAATAGTGTATTAATTTTTTTAACAGAAATTGAAATATACAATTATAAAATAAAAGAAAAATATGTACTTACATTTTTTTGAGTATTTTGAGTAAAAAAATCAGAATCATAATTTAGATAACATCTTTGAAGACATCTTTGAAGGAATTCGAAGATATGAATTAATGGTGCGGAAATGCACAAATTGTCAGTAACCAATCAGGGAGCTGATTACAGCTCGTTAATGCACAAATATTCTATAACCAATCAGAGAGCTTATTACATCACGACTAGAATTAAAATTATTTAAAAATTCATACATACTAAATCATTTTTTAAAAAATGCAAAATTAAATTGTATTTTAATATTAGAGCCATAAATAATGTTTAAAACATTAGATTAAATTTATACATATTAAAAACAAATTACCTTTAAAGTAAGGTGATGTCATTGATTAACATCATCCACAACATAAAATTTCATAAAATATGATAAACAATAAAATTTTTATTTCAAATAAAAATGCAAAATTAAATTGATTTTTAATATTTAAAAGCCATAAATAATATATTAAACACGGAATTTATGCACAATAAAACGCATTATTTTAAAAATAAAATGACAACAAAGTATCGGTTACCATAAATAACGTATCCAGCAATGGGTTTACCATAAGTTGTATCACTCGCCAAAGAAAAATCGCCAAAATCCGTGCAACCGTCTACCAAAGTAGCACCGAAATCCATTATAAACTACAAATGCTAAGAACAGATAGCTGAATGAGACAAAGCTGTGCACCTAATTATATTTTTCTTTGAAAGTGCAATTCATGTTTAAATGAGGGAAGGAATTTATAATTTCGCTTTTAATCATTGATTTAAGTAAATATTGCTTAATTTGATCAGTTTAATTTATGATTGGACTATTGTAATTGAATACCTGAAGTCCTTCCCATTTGTCTATGAAAATGTGGAAAGTGCATTACTTATTTGATACTGCGATCCTTATTGGTACAGCGATCACTTATTTGATACGAAATGCATGTTTGGGATATGTTATACATGCATTACAAAGTCACATACATGTGCTAGAGTTCTGACTTCAGAGCTGAAAAATCAAGATCAACATTGAAAAGACTGTGACTGTTATATTCACGCATCAATGAATTATTGTTGTCAATATTAGTATGTACAATACTGTTATCCCGTTGTCCAAACAAGTAACCTATCTTGGTGTTATTCTAGACCAAAGATCAACATGGAACCCCCACATTACACATATAATTTCTAAGTTCCAGAATTAATTTGCTGGGTT